CTTCTTTTTTCATATCTTTTCACAAAGAAAATAACAAACAAATATTTTTCTTACAATCACCGCATTATATGATTATATCTTGATATATTGTTAAATCTGTTATCCAAGTTTATTATGTTGTGAAAGTGTGACAGATAATGATGCATCATCGATCGAGTGATATCCTTTTCTCTTTTCTTCATTCTACCGTGCTTGAATACATAACTCTATGTGTATGTTATTTAATACTCATCGATTTTTCATCAGATTCATAAGTAACTCACGATGCTTTTTCTCTTTCATATGCCAAATGTTTGATCACTTTGAAGATAAAGAAGTAAAAAATAATTTAACTGATCATTTCTTTTCTAAAATCGTTAGAAAAGATGTCTGGATTATTTCAGATTGCTAGCAGTGTCATGCAGACTGATTACAATCATCGATTGTTTCACTTTCCAGTTTTCGTTTGACAAGTGTATTTATATGATTACATATGATAATTACGAGAGAGAGAAAAAAAAGACATTAACTTTTCCGATTGCCATTCCGGTTATACTCTCATTTGATTAGGTTGACTGGAAGTGTCTAACAGTTATTGAATTCGTATATGTACTCAATAATTCTTTTAATGATTCGTTGCGCATAAGTTCTGCTGATTCCTACCATCAAGTTCTTTTGCATCAACTTTTCATATCGATTTCTAGATATCAACAAATACATACCTGGGTTATACGTAAAATAAAAATTTCCTAATGTCCGACTCTACTTTATCTGACACTGAATTATTTGACGATAACCTAATGGACACTCATCAGGTATCAGCTTTAATGTTTTTTTTTATTATTTAAAAAAAGTGTTTCATTGACGTTCATAACAGAAATATTTCTCTATAATGCCCAGCGTCCTAGCGTCTTGTTGACAGTGAAGACGCTAGAACGCTCTATCTAATAAGAGAACCTTTTCTATGAACAATATAGCTATTTCTCTATAATGGACAGCGTCCTAGCGCCTTCACTGTCAACAAGACGCTAGGACGCTCTATCTAATAAAGGAACATTTTCTATGAACAATAAAAATATTTCTCTATAATGGACAACGTCCTAGCGTCTTCACTGTCAACAAGACGCTAGGACGCTCTATCTAATAAGAGAACATTTTCTATGAACAATAAAAATATTTCTCTATAATGGACAGCGTCCTAGCGTCTTGTTGACAGTGAAGATGCTAGGACGTTTCAGCTTATGAAAAGAATATTTTGATCGATAACACAGCTACCTGTCAACGTTAATTTGATTGTGTGTGATGATGTTGATAATTTTCTTTCAGTTATTTATTGATACTGATTTAAATGGACGAAAATATTGTTGTGTTGATAATTGCCAATTCAAAATTAACAATAACTCTAACTCTTTTACTCAAATGGTAGATTACATTTGTGAACTCTGCAAAAAAAATTTTTGTCTGAATCATTTTGTGGATCATATAGAACAAAAAAAATGTTCGTCGAATTGCAGAGGTAAGCCATCATGTTGTTCATTCAAATTGACTTTCACTTCAGCTCTGTTACAAGTGTTTTTTTGAGTGTAAAATTTAAAATATAATTATTTTCAGCAGAATTACCACCGTTGCTTCAACCGATAGCTACATCAACTCCAGCTCATACAGCTCAATATCATTCATCACTAAAACAGCAAATGGCTGACAATGAACATCATGTTCACACAAATCGGTTAACTGAACTTAATAATTCAAAAGTAAACAACCAAGCCAACTTTAATATGAAACCAGAGAAGCCCGTAAATGTGCTACCAGTTGGAGTTGCATCAAATCATGGTCTCTCGGTATTGGAAGAAACCATACCAGAGAAATCAACTATACCAAAACAGAGTATAACTTCTCAAGGCGGAAATTCGACAAAAGAAAATAGCGACAGGTTAAATCGATCACATTTCTTTTTAAAAAATATTGTGACATCTGCGACTTGCATGGATGTATTTATTTCCATTGTAACACAATATCCATTGGTTCAATTAAGCACTATTCAAAACTCATCGAAGATTCAATATCTATGCGTTGCTGGTAATGTTCTTTTAATGTGAATTATATCAATACACTTACATTCTAGATACATCAACATCATCAAATGAAAAACTCGTTTCGATACATCTATCTTTTGAAAAAAAAGTCAATTTTAAACATAAATTTCTTAATCATCTCTTTCCAGGTAGAAATCTGAATCTAATACATTCTCTCTAAACATCTTGTTCAATAGATCTGAAAATATCAGATTACTTATTTTTAACAAATGGCGATCACTTCAACGCTGAAATCAAATCATCATCGCAAGGAAGATACATTGAATCATCAATTTATACATCTAAGAAAGAAAAAAATGCACCAACCGACGTTTATCTTCAGAAACAGAAGAATTCTGCGTCTGCTGCATTAAAACAAGAATCTCTTCCTAGCGGTTTGTTTGATTGAATATTCATATAAAGCTTTAGAGAAATTTTCTTTTCTAGCTGTCGTTATACTGAGAGAAAGTCTTCCATTTGAATACATAACATGTGGGAACCAAATGAGAAGCAATATTGAATATGAACTTCAAGCAGCCGAAAAACAGAGAGAAATTGAATATAAACCAGTACATGATTCAGCATCATTTAAGTAAAGATTTTTTTACAAATGAATCCTTGCACTATTTATTTCTTTACAGAATCCCTGAAGAACATCGAGAGAAAATAGACGAATGGTTAAAAATAGATTTTCAAAAGCGCATTGATGAACAAATTACTCGATCAAGATGTTTATTCTTGGTTGGACCAACTCAGCACGGTATCTAACTTGAACCATTTTAATTTATTTATTAGATGATGCATACTAGTTAAACAATTGTATCTGAAAACATATCTATTCAATCATCTCAATTCTATGTTTACTGAAGTTTTGAATATGTCGTTTATTTATTTGATAAAAAGCGATTAATCTGTTGACTGCTCTCTTCTTCCTGTTGAAAAGACGCAGAACGCAAGGAAATTTTGTTCGTTCTTTCGCGTCGGCAGACATACGTTGAACGAAGATCACATGAACAGCGAACATTTTGATAGAAAGAGCCTAGCACGTGCATACATCTGGTCAATAAAATTAGAACACAAGTGAGAGCGTTCTTTGTTTAATTGCTTGATATTCCCGCAGACTGAAACAAACTATCAGTCTTCAATAGGTCAATCATATGAAACATCAACCGGTAAAAAAAATTCGATTAAAAATGTGATTTTTTTATAATGATATCTCTCGATTGCGATGTATATGCATATAAATGTTGGCGTATGATAGAGCTAAAAGAAACAGAGTGTTCACAGACATGGGCACAGGATGACTAATAAAAAATAACAAATCTATTCAAAAGAAATTAAATAATAAATAATTTAACTTTTGATAGAATCAAAATAGGCTATAAAATTCAAAAACTGGGATCAGATCAATGCATTTATGTATTTTCTTAATCAATTTTTACTTCATTCTCTCCAAAAGTTTCATTTTCTTCAATTGCGCTTTTATTTTCGGAAAAACGGAGCAGCTTAATTTTATTCGAATAGAACAAATGAAAATATATTGTCTTAATTGTTTCATCAATGCAAATGCATTAGCATGCTTATATATTGTGCTACTACAATAAAAAAAATACTACATAGAGTGAGATAGCATAAAGCAAGAAACAAATAGTATAAATTAGCTGAAATAAATGTGATCAAGTTTCCAACAAACGTTTTAAAAATAGACTTTTCGGTAATATCCATTCATTATTTTAATTTTTGGTCAACAATCTGTTATTATAGTCATTCTAATTGAGGATCATTTACTCAACTGAACATATATATATATATATATTGTAGACTAGAACAAATAAGATGATATCATTGCGGATAGTATCGAAAGACATTTAAAAGAAAAGAGGAGTTGACATAAAAACAACTAAATGATTAGAAAGACTTGTAAAATGAAGCAATAAATATAGCTCTAGCTAAAATAATTTCACTGGAAATATCTGTTAAATATTATCACGAACACTGTTGATTGATTATACTGATTGTAATCGAGTAGTGGAATCGCCATCACTACAGGTTATGTCTGAAGAAAATAGGTGATGACAACTACGCATGGCATCCATTCGTTCTCTCGCTTCTAATAGCATGTCCGGCTGCTTTGTTCAAGATGAAACGATAGACAATAAATATTTATAATAAAATAGTTTACTTTGAGTACTATGGTTTTTATCAGAAATTACCACTCAAAGGCTTAAAAATAAAATTCACTAATGATCAAACTCATTAGGAATGACTCAATAATCGCAAATAGTATTTAATGAAGACAAAGGTAAGCCAGAATTCACCACTGATTGGTTGAAATAAGAAACTGAGAGTTATCGGCTCACTAACAGTAAACAAAGAAAATTGATCAAAGTGATAAGCTCGTGCACGATAAACAAAAGTATGATGCTCTCAGTAGTGATTCATCATTCGTTCGACAAACTCACCTCGAGACATTTCCTTTTTTCTTACTACTAATATAGTTCAATTGTAATTAATATCAAGAATCTTGGTTACATAATTATATTTCTAGCACGTATTCCTTACAGCCATTGGTACTATACTAATTTCTGTATTTTGTTTAATTTAAGACCTGGGCCATTGATCGCATTTAGATTTTCGAATAAGTTACGTACATTCTTAGTCAGAAGTAAGTATAATCTATAATAACATGGAAACTAATCCGTTGTGGACCCTGAGCCTTTTTGGTACAACTTTATCATGTTGTTTTCGTTGTGAAGCTACTCAAAAGAATACTTCTCTTTTGAAAAAAGATATGATGATTTTGTTATGATGTATATGGTAAAATTTGAGCTCGATGAGATCTATATCAAATTCAAAGTAAAATTCTAATCCTATTGTAACACTCACACTTCACATCTGTGAACTAGTTTGTCAGCATATCTCACATTTCACCTTATTTCAATATAATGAGTTTTTCGTTAGCCACCAGTTAAAACTAATAAAAAATTGACAGAGCTTTATACTATTCTGTGAACAAACGGAATTGTATCAAGGGTTTCTCATGCTCAAAGTAAAAAAATCATTAAGAGAAACTTTCATTCTATGATAATCTCGTCGTATTTTGTTAATTTTTTAAATCTAATTCATATATAAATTGAAAAGTCCTGTTAATGATCCTATATGAATTGTTACATTTTACTACAGATCCATAGCGTTGAACAATGAACACAAGACAGTGGCGTGTTTCATTTTCATTTTTACGAAAAGCTTTCTCATTAGTCCTTTTTTTCATCTTCACCATCATTGTGTCTTGCAATCATCTATTTTTCTAAAACTTTATCTAAAGGATTTAATCGATCATAACCAAGTGGTTCGTTTCCACTGTTATTCTAATTTTGAAACGTAGTTTGACGTTTGCTTTTTATTTTAGTAAATTCTAATATGGAGCACAGACTAGTTTTGAACAATCGAACCAATGCTGACATAACTAACGATGATATGTGTGGCATATTTCATCAGCGTTTAAAATATTTTAAATTCCGTCGTGTTCCAACAAAAACAGGCAAAGATGTTTTCTATCTTTTTTTTCGACAAGAGGAAGACACATACGTTGCTCTTCGAGCAGC